ACACACCTGGCTGCCCTGAGTCACCCTCGATGGCCATGTCCTGTCCTGTGGTGCAGTCACACAAACAACACCACCAACGGGTGGCTTCTTTGGGAGGCCAGATGTTCCAAATGGGGGTTCTGGCCACACTGACTCCCTCCTGGGTCATAGGAGTGTGGAGAACTCTCCCATGCTGTCTGCCTTCCCTTGTGTGTAGTCTGCTTTTTCCAGAACTCAAAGTCATTAGGTCTAGGACCCACCCTACTCCATTAACATAACAAGGGAAAAACCCTATTTGCAAGTAGGAGCCTGTCCACTGGTACAAGGGCCAGAATTTAGTGGTTGGGAGGGGGCGGGGCCAGGGGGTACATAATCCAATCAGTAATGGGGGGGTCTGTCAACCACCACCCTGTCTGAAACTGTGGCTTCCACCCAGCTGGAATGGGCTCAAGGAAGCTGATGTCCTGGCTGGTCCAGTGTCAAGGTTGGCACAGGGAACCAAGGTGCCCTGCCACCTCAGCCCAGGGCCCTGGCCTTTATGAGATTGGTGCCCCCAACAGGCTAACCCCCTGTCCACTCTGTCCAGTCTCTGCATATCTGCCAGATGCTGCGGGGTGACCACCCATCCATTTAGTAACTAAACACAGCCTCTGTTTTTGTCACTTCTCATGACGTCATACATAATAGGGGTACTTCCTCCCAAATCAGAGAAAAGCTCTGAGGGCACAGCTTTCGTAGTATGCAGTATTCCTGCTGGGCGAGCATTGAGCGGCTCTCTCTGAGTTCGTGCACCCAGTGGCTTCACTGGGAAGGTGCTCTCTGGTCACAGTGAATTTTTGTCGGGGAAGCAGCTTCACTCTAACCTCTTTTTTGGTGATGGCCGATTTAAACATGCCGTGCTTTGAAAGAACAGCTCTGAAGTGACCCCGACTTTTATCCAGGTCCTTATGCTATTCTTATGACCCCGAAAGCAAACATCAGTCAAGCCAGTGGAAGATGACATTGTCACCTTGCCCCCCCAAAGCTCATCAAGTGAAATCAAAGATCAAGAGGATGCTCATTTGTTTTGGGGTTGTTTTTTTTTTCAATGTGAGGAAGGTAGTGTGTGGGGTTAAAGGGAAGAGGGAACCCCACAAAACACAGGTTCGGTAGGCGCAATTGTACAGCGATAATAAGTAGAGATTACAGTAAAGTCATAGCATGAGAGTTAAAGGATGGAGTCAAGTAATGGAGTCAGACGCAATTCATGGTGGCATCGCTCACCTCAGCCCCGCTTGATGGTCCTTGTGGAGGGGGCTCAGTCGTCAGAGAAGAAGCCGCTGCCTCATCCTCCTTAGCCACCTTCTCCAGCCACCCTCGGCCAGCCACCCTCCCAAGAACCAGGGAGCCTCATTATTTATTGCTAACCACGCATCATATCACTTTAGGGAGATCATACATCACAGAAAGGGGCAATACAATTCATTCTAGAACAAGTTTGATCACTCTGATGTCTCATATAATAAAACTGACAACTACTATTCTGGGAGGCATGCAAGTCCCCTGATAGCGGACAATAACCTAAGTCACCGGGAGGGGTAGCAACATAGGCAATACAATCAAGAGGGTGATGACCTAGGGGTGTGCCCGTATTTGTTGTGGGATAAACAGTGGTGTCTGCTTGATCTAGACAGCTGATAATGGCTACCTAACCTTAGTCATCCTTGGTCGGGTTTGACCTCTCGGTATCTCCCACAAATAGACAGACAACCACTATCCTTATCAGAAGGGAGTGGGTCTTATTTAGGGTGAGTCAGACTATAGTCTAGATGGCTGATGTTAGGGAGAATAACCTCTGACCTATTTTCACTGTCTTGTGAACAGTCATTCTCAAGCTAAGTCTGGCATATATTTTGGGGAGACAACTTAAGAGAAATCCTTCTGTTCCTCACAGTAGTGCATTTGGAGTTCATTCCACCAGGTCACATTGTTAATCAAGCTTTCTATTTGGAGGTTCTGAAAAGATTGCATAATAGTCTGTGGCCAAAAAGGCCTGATTTGTGGCTGACAGGGGACTGATTTTGTCTCGATAATGCATCTGGTCACATGGCCATCTCAGTGCACCAGTTTCTGGTGAAAACCAGCGTGCCTCCCTTGCCCCACACTCCTGACTCACCTGACCTTGCTCCGTGCAACTTCTTTTTGTTTCTGAGAATGCAAAGGACATGAAAGGACAGCAATTTGAGGGTGTAGAAGAGGTGAAGGGAAAAAAGGTGCTGTCAGCCATCCAAACAGATGAGTTTGAAAACTGTTTCCAAGAATGGAATCTCAGGTTTGACAAATGTATTAAGTGTCATGGAGAGTACTTTGAAGGCGATAAGGTTGTTTTCTAAAAAATATTTAGATACAAAGCTTTGGAAAAACAAACATTCAGGGGTTTTTTTGGTACCCCCTCGTAGGTCAGCAGGTGCCTGCCCTTACCTGGGGGCCTCCTACACTGGAGGTGACAGCCTGGCAGGGGCAAGAGCCTGACCCTGCCTCAGGCTGCAGTTCCACCAGACCCTGGTTCCTCGTGGGCTAAAGCAAATCCCGGGATTCCCGGAAGGAGAGGAGTCTCCCCACCTGGCTAGGAGGAGCCCCTCCGCAGGCCCTCTGCCCAGTCCCCCACTCAGGCCTCAGTCAGGCGGCAGCCATGGGGTTGGGGGGAGAAAGCGGGCAATGCCCCTGAAGGACCACCCGCAGCCCCCTGTGAATGAGCACCCTCACCAGTGTGCATCTGTTCAGAAATAAGAGCGCCCTCGCAATTTTCAACCGTACACAGAGTGCTCTCAGGAGGCCCCGCCCTCCTCCTCCTGCCCTGGCCTTTGAGACCAGAGCTCTCATACGGGTTCATTCTCCTGCTGGGACTCAGACGCTTCCGGACAGCGGGAGGACAGCCATGCCCAGGACATGTTGTATCTCCACTGTTGGGGCTCTTGGGCACAGCCCAGTCACTTGCAGCTTATACTGACACCCCTGAGACAGATCAGAGAAGGACTACCCCAGAGTGTCCTGGGCAGTAATTCTTAGGGGAGCAGGGGCTAGCTCTTTCCTTTGAGGGAACCCCAGCAGGGGCCTTCAACAGTCACCTCTTCCGTTAGCATTGTGCCCACTGTCACACAAGCACCCTACCCTCACTCACGGCCCCCAGAGCAGGACCCAGAATTCACTTTCACAGACACTGTGGGTTGTTGGGAGCCCTGCCTGGCGATGTCATGGGCTACAAGTTGGGCTGCTGACTGCAAGGTCAGCAGTTCAAAACCACCAGGATCTCTGTGGGAGGAAAATGAGGCTCTCTACTCCCATAAAGCTTGACCGTCTCTGAAACCGACAGGGGCAATTGTATCCTGCCCTATAAGGTGGCTGTGACCTGGATTGGACTTGATTGATGGCAGTTAGGTTAGTGGTTGTGGTCATGGGTCAGCTCTGGGGAGCCACTGGGCCCTGTGGGGCTTCCCCTTCCCCTTCCCCGTTCGTATCTGCGATGGGTGCTGGGCAGACTCACCCCTAGCAAGGCCGCGGCAAGAAGGTGGTCTCTTGTTGCTTCCCTAGGCCACGGGCTCCTGGTGGACCAGGACGGACAGGTGTACGAGGGCTCCTTCCACAACCACAGGAAGCACGGGCACGGGCACATGCTCTTCAGGTAAGAGCGCGTCAGGAAAGGTGGCATCAGGGCCACACGGGGACCCTCAGGTAAGGGACAGCGTTGGTCCCTGGGAGGTGGCATCAGGGCCACACGGGGACCCTCAGGTAAGGGACAGCGTTGGTCCCTGGGAGGTGGCATCAGGGCCACACGGGGACCCTCAGGTAAGGGACAGCGTTGGTCCCTGGGCCGGACTCGCTGACTCGAGGTCCCCTGAGTGAGTACAGGTGGGGAGACACACATACACACACGCACACACACACACATGCACACGCACGGTTCTGTCCAGCCCTCCTCCACTTGTCCCAGGAACACTGGCCATTAACCTACTTCCGTGTTTGGTTCTTATTCTAGCTCAGTGCTTCTCCACCTTCCTCAGGCCGTGACCCTTGAATACAGTTCCCGTGTGGTGGTGACCCCCCAACCATAACATTATTTTTGTTGCTACTTCCTAACTATTATTTTGCTACTGTGATGAATTGGGCGACCCCTGTGAAAGGGTCGTTCAACCCCCAAAGGGGTGGCGACCCGCAGGTTGAGAACCGCTGCTCTAGAACTTCTCCCTCCTTTCCTGGAATTGTAGGCGCCTGAGCGGTGTGGTAGGTCTCACACTGCGCTGTCCCCCACCCCCCACCCCCCTAGGTCTGAATCAGTGAGTTTGGCTGGAGTCTGGGTCGGATGGACCCTCTGTGTGTCTAGAGAAGACCCACCAAGCCCTCCCCTCCCTCGGGGAAATAAGAGCAGTGCAGAGCCGAGTCCTGCAGAGCAGGCCCCAGGCAGCGAGCGCCTCCCCTGCGGGCCTGCCTGCCGCTGGGACAGGCAGATCCGTGTTTCCGCTTGGCTTTCCTTCCTCAGCACCTCGGTACAGCGGGAGGGAGGGAGAAAGCTGTCCAAACAGACAGTGCGGCCTGTTCCCCTGCAGGGACCACGGCCGGTCCGTCAGCTCCGCCGGAGCCTCAAGGTCATGTTCTTGCTCTCCCAGCCAGAGCCGATGGGCCTCGGTCAGGCCCCTCCGGCCATCTGCTCTGGACTATTTTTGCCTCGGCCCCTGGGGGCACATGCTGAGTGCCAGTCGGAGGGACCGGGGCTCAATCACGCAGCCACCTGGCTGCCTTGGGCAGGCCTGTCCCCTCGGCTGTGTTAAGCATCCCACCTCTGAGGCACTGGCCCATGCAAGCCCATCCATTCCCCTGACCTCAGGGGCATGTCCCCCAGCCTGAACACAGTGTCTCTGTCTCCAGGAACGGTGACACGTATGAAGGAGACTGGGTCCTGGACCAGCGTCAGGGACACGGCGTGCTCAGCTGTGCTGATGGGTCCACATATGAGGTAGCGTACCCTCACCATCCCCAAGGAAGGAACCCCTAGCTTTAGGGGGCAGGGAGGGTCTTCTGAGATGGCCTACTTCCATCATCTCACCTGGTCCTCTTAGCAGCTCCATAGGGAGCGACTGTCATTGCCCCCATTTTGCTGATGCATAAACTGAGGCACAACAAGCTTAAAGCAATCACCTGTGCCTACTACGGGTCCACAAGGTCAGTAGTTCAAAACCCACCAGCTGCTCTAAGGGAGAAAGATGGGCCTTTCTACTCAGGTAAGGAGTTATCAGTCTGGAAAACTCACAGGGGCAGTTCTTACAGGGTTGGTACGAGCCGAGCCGGCATTAGCTGCCTGGCAGCGAGTGAGTGCAGGGCTATTCTGGGGTCAAAGCCAGCTCGATGGCAGCCAGCAACAGGCATAGGCTCGGCTGACCTTTGCCGCCAGGTCCCAGAAGCCACCCTGTGACCCCCACACCAGATAGAGGGTTGCTCCTTTAGGAGAGCCCGAACCTACCCTGGTGGTATTTCTGACCAGTTAGTTATGCCCTTGGATACTGGTGGCTGCCCCTTGGCATGCCGGAAAGTAGGTGAGAGAAACCAACCTGAAGTAGGGGAGCGAAACCTTGGAGAGCGGTGCCCCCGACAGAGAACCACACCCCAGGAGTTAAAGACAGACCAGCTCCAATGGGTAAGAGAAGCCCATTTCTACTGCAGGGTCCCTCCAGCACCCTCTCTTGACAAAGCCTGGCATTGCACAGCCAGCCGTGAAACGCTGCTGATGCGTTACAGACATGGGAGCTGGGCTGCAGGGAGCTGCCAACTGGCCTGGCCCTGGCTGGGACAGGGCAGGCTGGGGTTGGCAGCAGAAGGCAGCTGGGCGCCTGCCTGGCCTCCTGAGGCTTCCCCATGGAGAGAACGTAGGCCCTCGGCTCCAAAGGCCCTGCACGGCCTCCTCTGGGTGCGGAACAGAAGCATGCTGGGTAAACCACCGCCAGGTCCCTCCCCAGAGACAGCGAAGCTGAGCGGCTTGTGCCTGGGCTTGTGCTCCCTGGTCGTTGGCACTGGATGTAAATGCCACCATGGCCTCTCCTCCCCCTGGACAAACACCTGTCCCTCCTCATAAGCTCAGCCTGGAGGCAGACCTGGGCAGCCAGAGCCTCGTTCTAATTCTCCCGCCTCTCAGGCAGAGCGATTGTTGAGGGGGAGGCCCAGGGGGTGCCCTGGGCAGACCTCCCTCCTTCCTGGGGCTGTGCCTCCCACAGAGGTCCAGTCTGCGTGTGGGCCCCTTCCTGGTAGCCGTGGTGCCAGGAACCCCATGCCGGGAGGCACTGCCAAAGCTCCCCACGTGTCAACTCCGTACCACAACCAGTGAAGAGACGGCTGTCCCCCCAGCGCCCCAGTGTGTAGATGTGGAAATGGAGGCTCTGAGCAGTCACTCAAGCCAGCCCTGGGACCTGAGTCAATCACAGGTGGAGGATGTGGAGGAGTGGTGGTCTGAGCAAAGGCAGGACCCAGGTCAGAGGTGGTGCACACGGCCTGGGGGCTGGGGACAGATGGCCGAGTCACCTACAGAGGGACAAAAGGGTTTGCCTCCAGTCGCCTGCCCCCCATGGCTGTCTCCTCCCATAGAACCCGGCTGCCTCAGGGGTCCCTGTTGAGACCTGTCCACGTGTCCCCTCTTTTTCCTGCAAATCACTGTACAGCCTCAGGGAGACCAGCTGAGTGTCCCTGCTGTCCGCCCCAGGGTTTCTGAATGCCTGGTGTCTCCAGAGCGGGGATCCCTCCTGGAGTCCTTTGAGCTGCCACCCCAGCCACATGCCACCAGGGGGCAGCCCCTTCCCACTCAGCCGCCAAGGCCCGGGAGCCAGGCTAGGCTCCTCAGCTCTGCAGGCCTGGGGTGCCCAGTCCCAAAACGAGGCTGAGGGCAGGTATGAGATGGGCCCCCGCCCTCGGCCGGCCTGCAGCTCTTGGGGCCTGGCAGTGGGCAGAGGTGGTGGCCCTGGCGTGCGCCCCGCCAGTCATCCTGGGTGTGAGCGTCTGAGCAGGGTGTTTGTGCCTCAGTCACAGGTGAAAACGGCGCTTGACCCTCCGGGGGAAGTTTGGGAGCTCAGGAGCAGCCGAGCCTCAAGGTGGGGGTCAGGGTAGGGCTTTTGACAGTGCCTCAAGTGTGCCCCTAGCTCTGCTCACCTGCATCCGCTCCTGTGGCTCAGGATGGACCACGTGTGGCCTGTGGTACCTTTTGCATGGTGGGCGGGCCTGTGAAATGCCAACAGGGGAGCCATCTCTTTGGGACCTGTCTCTGCCCCGAGGAGACCTGCCCCTATGAAGCATGTCCCCCCCACCCCCACCCTCTGCATGTCTCTACCAGGTCCCCCCAGTGCCTGTCCCAGGCGACTTGGCCTCAGACCTGGGGAACTGTAGTCACAGCAAGAGTGGCGAGGCACAGGGGGAGTCCTGACTGCAGAGCGAGCTGGCCACACTGCACTCCCTCCTGCCACCTTGACAGGGGGCTTTGGTGTGACTGAATTGAAGTATGTGTCTCCCCTGGGCCATCCTCCCCACCCTACCAGGCAGGGAGGAGCCAGAGCCTCGGGGTGGGCTGCACCCTGGCCCTGGGGCTCAGCCCCCACTCATGGCTGCCAGACCCACTTCAGAGACAGCGCGAGGCTCTTAGCACAACTGCTTGTGTGAGAAAAAATAATTACCCCGTCTGTCACTTGGCCCCTAATTAATTAGGAGAAGCAGAGGGTCTCGCAGCGCGGTGGCGGCGTGATGCTTCCTCACGAGCTCTCTGTGCGCACTCGGGCTGGCAGCTCTCCTCTGCTCCAGGAGCAGCGAGTTTTACTCCTGACGTGAGAGCCCGGAACCCCCTCCACGCAACCGCCTCTTCCGGCTGCCTTTGTGCCAGAAGCCTTGACCCAGAGGCGCTCTCTGGTCCAGCATTTCCCCGGATGCCCTCTTTAGTCGTTGGTAGCTCTGTTCTGCTTGGCTGTGGGGTCGCACGTCCCCGGGGCCCCTGTCAGTGTTGGGGGTTCGTCTGCCTTTTCCTTTCTCCCACTGGAATATGCGCCCCACCGGCCACCCTCCAGGGCCCTGCCGCAAAATCCAAGGGTCTTTAGAAAGCTGCCCAGGGCCCCCAGCCCCTGTCGCTCCACTGCCGGCAGTCACTTCTCTCTCTTCTAGAGAATTATCTGGAAAAGACTAGAAAATAGTCATTGTTCCCAGAGCTAGAGACCCCAGGGTGGTGCAGATGGTGGGCCTGCTGGGCTACTCATCCAATGGCTAGAACCACCCAGAGGTGCCACAGAAGAAAGGCCTGGTGACCTGTGTCCACCAAACCCTAAGGAGCTGGGCCCTACTGTGGCAAACACTAGCCACCGGTCTCCTGGTTTCCACAGATGTCTCCCCGCCTTAGCCTTTTTATCTAAGTCTGGGACGTGTTAAACCTGCTCCAGAAAAGAAAGAAAAAAGTTATTCCTAAAAATAAACCTGCTGCAGCTTATTCTGTTGGGAAATCAGAACAATGTCTCCCCAAACCAACAACATCTCCCCCTTCTCTTAAAAAACCCAGTGCCACGGAGCCGGCCCTGCCCCCTGGTGGCCTGCTGTGCGTTTCAGAGGAGAACCACTCTTGACTCTCCCGGCTGCCTCTGGGGAAGTAGACGGCCCAACCTTTCTTCCGAGCCACCTCTGGGTAAAGCCAACCGGCCAGGCTTTTCTGGTCAGCAGTCCAGCACCCCCCTGTTGCCTCCAGCCCCCCACCTCCTATAAGTGATTGGAAGCAGGGGGCCCCATCCAGTCTAGTGGGGGGCTCACTGGGGTCTGTTCACTGCAGAGCCCTGAGCGTGCCTGCTCCCTCTGATGAATTCCGTTCTGTTTTAGTTTTATTTTCTTCTTTTTTACCCAACTTCATACAGTTTCCATTTTGTGGAACCCCCCCCAGGTTCCCACGTTGGATGGTGCAGGCCCCGATCACAGCTCGGAAGCACTCCCCCAGGGACCCTGATAGAGCCTGGAGCCAGCAGCACACCCAGGGGAGGCTGGGGAAGGCGCCCTGGGAGCTGCTGTGGTCTGTCTGAGGCATGAAGCTTTCCTGTGCCAGGCAGCCGGGCCGGGGTCTGGGTGGTGGGCAGGGACCCAGCCGCTCCGCCTCCCCCACACTGCCACCTCACAATCTAGCGCCACGTGAGATCATCCGTTAGGTCTCTGGCCTCGTAGACGTTCAGACTGAAGCCAGCGCAGGGCTAGCATGAACCAGCCTCTGTCCACAGTTCCCATGGAGAAAACCGAGCCCTGCCGACTGGCTCAAAACAAAACCAAACTCGCTCCCTGGCTTGGAGTCCGTCCGGCTCCCATCGGCCCAGCAGGACCGGGTGGAACCGCCCCTGTGGGTTCCGGGACTGTACCTCTTCGTGGGAGTCGAAAGCCTCGTCACTCTCAGGCTTCTGACTAAGGTGGCCTCGCGCTGAGCTTCGAGAGGGTCCGGTGGGGAGGATCTGGACTCTAGGACAGCCAGGACCTGTGCTGCCACCACAGCTGGACACTGCAGGCCTGAGACAGGTGCAGGCCCAGGCTGGGGCTTCCCCACAGGGCTGGGTCAATGGCCCCGAGCGCCTCCCCGTCTTCTGCACCCCCACCCCCACCCTGGTCCAGGAGACTGGCTCAGCCAAAGGACTCACCTGCTGGTAGGAGACGCTGAGACGGAGCCACAGTGCTCTGAACCCCCTTGCTGTCCCCATGCTGGTGCATCAGGAGGTGTGTGTGTGGGGGGGGGGTGTCGGAGGACAGGGGTGGAGGGTGCCGAGGTGAGGGGTCCCCCCACGAGCACCCGGGAACGCTGCAGGAGGCGGTAGAGCTCGGAGTCAGCACCGTGGAGGAAAGCAGAATAACATTCCTAGGAAAAGAGAAATAGCATCCATTAGCTGGCAATTGCTTCCTGAAAAGTGAAAAGCAAGCCCGCAGGTGCTTCTTTCCGTTTATCAGAGCCCATCCCATCGGGGTCACCCTCGGGGCGCTCTGAAAAGCACCAGCGTCAGGGTTCTCCAGCCAGTGTGATGTGGAGGTCTGTCAGGATGGCCACTCTGCCCCCAACATGCGCCGCCTTCCTGGAGTTTGGCGGGAAGACTCAAGGGTGAGTGAGGGGGAGACAGATGGAAGCTATGAGGACGGCGTGGTGCGAGCTGCTGCTGCTGCTGTAGCAGGGTTCTGGCCCAGTTGGAAGGGCCGTTTGGAGTCCTGTAATGGGCAGGGGGCTGCCCTGACCCTGCTGCCGGCACCCCCATGCCCCTGGAGCCAGGGGCCTGAAGGAGCCCCGAAGGGAGGGGGCAACAGCGACACCCACACGTCACCCCACAGCCTGTAGCCATGGCTGAGGCCCAGGGCTCAGCAGCCGGAGACCCCAGGGCCTGAGCAGCAGTGGAGGCCTCGAGGGACAGCCAGGGGACCCTCTGCGGCCCAGGAGCAAGAGATTGGGGCTCGTGTGAAGGAACATGGCACCCGACTCCCTGGGCCGCCCTGTCACACGTCACCACAGGCTAGGGTCACCCCCTGTACTGCAACACAGAAACAACACGTGTGGGCAGCTTTGAGAACAGGAGTGGGCCATCTCCTGGGTCTGGTGGCTGGACGATCGGATCAGGAGTTCAGCAGGGCCAACTCCTTGGCCCTGGACATGAGGCGGGTCTCCCTCATGTCCAGTGTCAGCCTGGGCTGGCCGCTGGGTCTTCCCGTGGCCTCACAATAGTTAGAAAGGAGTGACGGGGCAGCGCAGACATGTCTGTGCCAGAGGGGAGGGCAGCTCAGCATGGAAGTAGGGAGTGTCACCTTGTCTGGGGGAGCTTGAGTGGGTGGCCCTTTGGGTCAAGAACACAGTTGACATCAGCCCATCCAGGTGCAGAGCCAGGTGTAGCGATGGTGACACCTACCCCCACTGAAGTGTCTGCTGCCCTGGTGCTCCGAGTCTGTGCAGGCCTGTGTGAGCCATTAGGCTAGGTCCCCCTGCAGGGCGCAGCCATGACAGACAGAGGCTGCCTGCACAGCACCCCCTGCCCATTACAGGACTCCAAACGGCCCTTCCAACTGGGCCAGAACCCTGCTACAGCAGC